TTTTTTTTTTTTTTTTTTTTTTTTTTTCTGGACTTCATAAAAATTTTATTGCTTGTAGAACCAAACTGACTTTTTTGTCCTAGCAACCTTTGGTTTCTTGAAGAACTCACTTTTATATTCTCCTCTTCCTTTGATTAAGCATTATTTGAATGTTTAGCTTACTTTTATTATTTTTATCGATGCTCACTGCGGTTTGCAATTTCCTCCTTTGATATTTAATTCTGTTACTTCATTTTACAGTTGGCAGATACAGTTTACTATTCATCACAGCATCTAACGGGTCTTTTTCCTTCATGGTAGTGTTACTGTTAAACCCATTTTTATGTTACTTCAATGTGTTTGCTCGGCGTGAAAATTGTTAAAAATTTTTTGAAAACTAACTATCTTCAACACATAGCAGTTACTTTTTACAAATTTATCTTTGGCAATTTTTTTCAAACAGTATTACTTTACTGCAGTTATTAACACCAGTAAGGAAGTAGCGGAAGAGTGATGGCTGACTGAAGAAGCGATTTTGGGAATCCGAGACCTCCAGTTCTCGGAAGTTGCGAAGAGTAAGGCCAGAAAGTTTTTAGTGCATGGATAATGGTACAAAGGTGCTGACACAAATTTCATACTCTGTTCATCGCAGTAGCTGAGCTGTGGCCGGAACTAGTTATTGAAGTCGCTTAGGTACTGTAGAAGAATGAGGATTTGGAGGGAAAGGAGCACAGTGAAACCAGTTGTGCAGCATTTTTTTTTTGATGTGTGCAGTGTTGTCGGTGTACTGTTTAAAAGTAGTAAAAAACAAACAATGACAGTTCGTTGGTTGTTTAGGCTACCCCGACAAACCTTGTTTACGGACGTCACGTAGGTTTCTGTCAGTCCTATTACTATGCAAAAAACATGTGCTACGACTTACGAAGGACAAGTAAAGACCGAAGCCTACTAAGCCACATATCTCGGACACTGAACGTCACTTGCCTACCCATAAAAATCGAGAGTGCGTTCTAAGCTTTCAACAACTAGGGAGCCTGGCGGCTACTCCGCCTTTAATAGAAAAGACATCCCTCTCTTAAATAGAATAGGCTGCCACGCAGTGTCCCGTCATGAATGGATATTCCTCCAAAGAGTGAGGTCGCTAACTTGCAAGAACGAGACAGATGACATGAGAACCAGTACGGAAATACAAAGCTGCACCCTGCAATCCAGTGTAGCGAAGTGTTTCCTGCGTAATCATTGTTTATTCGGGCAGATGAGAACACGGATAAAAGCGAGTGACCCATAATCAAATGACAGCTCATGTATGGCGTTTATTCCGAGCTAATTTTGAACGTTTCACGACAGTAAACTGCACTGCAAAAAAGATTTTTGTACATCGCCATCGCTTGAAACTGAAGTATGAAAAAAAAAA